TTTTTTTTGCTTTACTGATATAAAATTTAATGTTTAAATATCTGATTTTATGAATTTTGAAAAATAACAACTAATATGTTTTATGACTTTTAAATTTTTAATTGAACGTCAATTTTGTAATTACTATTTATTGATATTGTTTCGTTAATACTTATAAAGAAAATTTGAATGAGTAATTATTGGATGAATTTTGGACTTTGAAAATCTTTTAACAAAATGTTTACGAATTAATAATGTTGTATAGCTTGCTTTATTAATACTCGCGCAAGATCTTTTATAACGCTCGCACAAAATCTTTTTTAGTTAAAACGAGCAGGCAATTGTATTTGGAGATCTAATAAACTTATAATTTACAGATTTCATTATATTGTCTCCAAGTTCTTAATGACACCTTCAGTAAAATCACCTTCAAGTTCAATTTTAAACAATATTAACTCCCCAAAAATTCAGATTATCTATCAGGAATGTGCAATCTAAAAGCAACTTTTTGTCATTAGCAATAATTATTCTGAGTGTAGTACTATAAATGTTAACCTGCAAAACATAATTAGATTCATATTTCTGTAAAGTATAATTCAATTATTTTCGCGTATTTCACTTCTTTAATAACAATTTTTAAAACAATGTTAAAGCTTTTATTTATAATTTTCTTTCTTTTAGTAATATCTACATCTTAAAACTTCAATAGTGATTTTTTGTTTTTTTTAAAAAAAAAGAGCTGTGACGCCATTATTCCAAGTTTCCAATTCAATCGGGTCGGGTCAAACCTGTAACCCGACTCAAAACTTTGAAAATCTCATATTTCTTTTTTACAACTCCTTACGATCCATTACGATCCATTATACGAAACATGACGCTAATATTAAACATTTTTACGTGACATTCAATACAAAATGACGCAAAAAATCAAAAAATATGTAAAATAAAATATTGCTTGCTCTTGGCCAGTTATAAACATACAACTGTTACTCCTGAACACCACGTAGAGGTGGCAAGCTTCGTTCAAGGAAAAAGAAACCACTTACCTGTAATCTTAATACAACCAGTTTATAATTAATAGGATTAAAAAAAAACAATAATATTTGGGTTATTAAGAACAAAAATTGAGCAGAGACGTTCGGACATATAGATATATAATATAATAACTTTCACAACCTGACAAATTCTATATGAAAACTGTGTTTTTTTAGTTATGTTCTGGCCCCAGATACAACTACTTATGCACACATGCATTAAAAACAAGAAAGAAAATTATAAAAGAAAATTATTTACGTAAAAATCAAAACAAATAAAACAAATAATGCACATGTGCATCAGAACAAGAAAGAAATTATTTTTGTAAAAATCAAAAATAAGCTTTCTCATTCCCCCATCTAATTATTTGGTTTACATATATACACAATACGTACTATGTACATACATACATAAAATACGTACGTATATATACGTAATGTGGGAAAGTCGTTCGAGCAATAAACACAGGTTTCTCTACTCAATTTTATTAAAAAATTTGTTTATGTATGGCTTTAACTTTTTTAAAGTTTTTAGCGTGGAGTTGGTCGTACCTACGGTTTAAAATGAGGTGTGGAGTTGGTTGTACCTTACCTATTACCATACATAACAAGAAAAAAAAATAAAATAGAAAGGCGAGAAGAATAAGAAAGGAGAGAGGAGTTAAAGAGAATAAGAGAAAAAAGTGGCTATTTTATATTTTAATCATGTATCACTTAACCATGATGAGTCATATTATAAACATGTGAACTCCGTAGTATAAAAAATAGATATTTAATCGTAAACATGTGTTTGCAATAATTTTTCACGTAATCTTGTATATGACGTCAAATTTATATACTATTTCAGTATTTACTGTGGGCGTTATATCATTACATCATTACATCATTAACCACGATCTCATATTCATTAAAGCAATCTAAACTTTGGCTATATTCAAATAAAATGGCCACAAGTAGAGAAATCGTTCAAATAAACAAGTTAACGATCCATTAGATAAAGTGCGGAATAGGCTAGTAATGTTATCCTTTTGGTTATAAAATTTATGACAAATTAAAATTTTTATCATTTTAAATATTGGGAATCTCTTCCTCAATGAATTACTTTATTATATAATAATCATTATATTTGTAATTAATGATTTTATTATAGAAGTTGCGATAAAAGTAATTTTTAAACATCTTAAGTATAAAATTTTTAAATGATTATTATGATTATTGAATTTAGTTTGAATTAGTTTTCCAGTTATCATATCATAATTTTATTTTGGATGCGTTTTTAGGTCTATTCTTTATCAATAGACACTTCTTCTTCGATAGCAGATGGTTCTTTACTGATAAGAGTACTTTTATATTTCTTAAAACGTATTTTATTTGCTTTTCTAATTGGAACCAGTGTTTATATGAATTATATATACCCATTTTGTTACTGTTTTGTATATTAAGAAACAAAATATATTAAAATCATTAATACGACCTTAATAAACATAATATAAATACTTGCCTGGTACGACTAGAAAATTTACTAGTTAATGAAAACTTTGTAGACATACTGTAGTACATAAAAACTAATTTTTACTAAAATGGTTGAGTAAGAAGTTGTTGTTTGATTTGGGCATCTAAAAAATATGAACTATCTTTTATATGTGAATTTTTATAAATATTATGCTTAATCAAATTTTCGATCAACAAAAGTCAAATAGCCACATTATTTCATTGTGTTTTGTTTTTCTTATTAAAATAGCAGGCAAACTATTCCTTTATGTATGGGATTAGGTTGTAACGAGGCTATATAGTATAGATATACACTTTTGTTCTTGTCTATATAAGATAAACAGGTTTGACCAATCTTATTCTCGATTAGAAAAATAGGTGTCCTTTTTTTTTAAAAAAAGTATTAACTAATCTGACATCCCATATTTTTTTTCACCGAGGTGCCACACGTGGTGCAGGAATGTTGAGTCGTTTGGCCCTATCAGAAAAATGATCACGTTTCTGAGTGAGTTTCTTCGGAATAAAAACTAGAAAAAATGATCATTTATCGGAGTGAGTTTTTTCCAGAATTTTTTTTTTATAGGGGAGTGCTTATCAAGTATGAAATAAAATTAACAAACAAAGGTTCTAAGCAAATATAGAACGATCGACTAATATTTATCACGTGATTAATATTTATTTTTATTACTATAGGTACTACGAAATGTAAAAATAAATAATACTAATATGGTAGATTGTTTCACCTATTTTTGATTTAATAGTAAATTATTAAAAATTAAGTGGCTCTGTTGCCAAATCATATTAAAATAAGCCTAAAAAAGACCAAAAAGAATTGAATGACTGCATAATACTGTATAAATCATAAATGACATAGTTTAACTGTTAATTTATTTGAGATAATATATTTTAATTTTTTTGTAGTTTAGAGTCGCGGTTAACTAAAATGGTAGGTGTCAAATTGTGGAGCTAAAGCATGTACTGTTACATTGGGATTTCATTCTAAATAGTTACATTTTCTATAACCAAGAATTCGGATAATTCATTATTTGATAATTTTATAAATACGTACTATATAATAGTATATATAAATGAGGCTTGTATATAATCTTAGTTCATTGATTTTTGGAGAGTAGGTTGAATATTCATATTATCAAAAGATTTTGTTGAATGATAATTTGTTGATAGTTCAGGCTTAGGAAATTTATTCTGAAGCGCAGGAATTTGTAATAATTATCTTGATTCATATACCCTATAAAAAATTTTATCCGTTATTTCTGTAAAAACTCCGTAAAAATGAGCCTTGTAAATAATTCGATAAATTCCGTGATATAAGGTTATTAATTCCGGAAATATGAGCCTTTTATGGAAAAAAGACGGAATATAAAAAACGGATCGACTTTTTTTACAGGGATAACGTTTGGAGGTATCTCAGAGTTATTTTTAGTTTGACCTATTGATAAATTAAAAAATCTTGTTGTAGCATGTTTCAATTGTTTCAATTGTTTCATGATTTTTTTTGTGAATTTTAAAATATGAGAGAATTTTTTCGAAAGAAACTTCGTTCCGAATTTCCGAATGGCAAAGTAGATAGGATAAAAGTATGACGTAGAACCGATGATTAGTTACATCTTTTTTCCTTATATATCAAGAAAATATCACACAACATGATTAAGTAACTAAAAGAGCGGATTGTGAACCTTTTTTTTGTTTTTCACGTTTTACCAAGATTATCAAATTTGTAATAATAAATAGGATTACTTGTACGGCACAAAGTAAGAACAAATGTAATAACAATCAATGATCATTATGTTATAACAATCGTCTGTACACGCCTTTAAATATATTATGCACCGTATCTGTTTTAAAAAGGATCGTTATTTGATATACTAATAAGGTTATGAAAGAGGTCCGAATGCTTAACGAAAGTAATAATGTACAGTACGTACAAATCGTTATTGATCATATTCGACGAAGATTTAACTATCCATAAACTAAAAACAGCAAATTAATGAATTTAACAGTTACTTTTAATGGTAAGATATTTAAGGAAATTTTGTATCATATGGGATCACTTGATGATCGACATTCCGATGTCAAATCCACTTCTTCGATGTAATGATTAATTGTTTATGACAATCAACTATCATACTTAAATAACTACCAATTCAACTCAATGAAACAATTAAACTTGGCTGGGTTAATCACGATATACTTTGTTACGTGAAAATATGAAAATATCATATGATATTAAATAATTTACCTGCAACTAATTAATTGTAATTTTACATAGGTGATCAACTTTATACGTTACGCAAACAAAATAAAAGTGAAAAAGAAACCCACCCCAAATATAAATAAATACATGACCCCATTCTTTTCTTTTTTAAAAAAAATTTGAAATTCTCATAAATATACATTATAAACTAACGGTATTTTAAAAATTGTTAGAAACTGAATTCAGATAACCGTGTCACACAAGGTTATTCTAATTTACCAATGAATCAAACTAACTTCGGCATACCTTCAATTATTGACAATAATAATAAAAACTTTCAATACGCTTCAAACTCTGATCCGAATTCAGATACTTCGAATATTAATAACATTAATACAACTGCTCCTGCACTTCAAAATTTTACATATGAATTTTATCTTCCTTTACCAAATGATACACGTATTTATCATGTTACTTATACCGAATTAAATTTAATAGAAATCGCGCTACTCTTGAATAATAGAATTGATTTATCTCACATTCCCAACCATCGACTTCCGTACCATTATAATGTACAACGTTTAATTAGGCAAGAAATTATTCAACAATCTGTTGGCTATCAACAAAACACCATCCCATGACAATCTTTTGATACTATTGATATTCAACCAATTTTCCAAGAGCATCCAGACGACAATGCTTACGATGTATCTTCAATTCCTTTTATTCAACAATCTCTCGAATATCAACAAGAAGCCGTCCCACAACAATCTTTTGATAATATAAAATTTGAATTTTATCTTCCTTTACCAAATGATGTATATATCTATCATGTTACTTATACCGAATTAAATTTAACAGAAATCACGCAACTCTTAAATAATAGAATTGATTTATCCTACATTCCTGATCATCGAATCCCATATCATTATAATGTACAACATTTAATTTGGCAACAAATTGTTCGACAACCTGAACCTAATTTTCAAGAATATTCAGATAATAGTGCTTACGATATATCTCCCATTCAACAACCTGTTGATTATCAACAAGATACCACCTACAACAATCTTTCGATGTTATATAGATATTCAACCACTTTTCCAAGAATATTCAAATAATAATACTAACGATGCATCTTCAGTTCCTCCAAACAGTCCTGAAGATGGATACAATGGAGTTCAATCACATCAAAATAACTAAGTCTAAACCTAAATTATCATTAATTTAAAGTATTAAGATATATGTCATTATATGATTTAAGAAAGATAATTATACATTACAATTTAACATTTCATGTTAATATAAATTCAGAATTTATATGTTTCACTTAATAAGCTTTTTATTATATTTATGTTTTTTTTTGATATCGCCTGGGTTTTTTTTTCAAATATGTCACATGATGTACAATATATAGAGTAAATTTATTAATCGGCTGACGGTTGATTTTTTAACTTAGCTAATTTTTGATCGGTTAAACTTAAAAATTTTATCGCAAAAAGATATTTAAAAAAAATTTTTTTGCAAACATATTTATTCAAAATAATCGTATCTAATGATATTTTATTTACAAATATTAAAATTTAAGTCACACATTTACGATTTTAAAGAAAAAAATCACCGTATTTATTTTTTTAATGAAGTGATATAAATAAAAGAATTAATAACAATAAATAAAAAAGATAAACCGTAAATTGGTATCCAATCAAAATCTCGACAATCACTTGCACGACTAACACAAGATCGACAACAAAATCTCGACAATCCAAAATCTCGGCAATCCAAAATCCTGACAAGTCATTATATCGACAATTTTATGATGTGTGTTTCTAATAAAATAATTTTTGCAATATGTAATATTTAGTTTAAATGTGTTATGATTTTGTCGGAATTTTGACTTGTCAGGATTTTGACTTGTCAAGATATTGGATTGTCGAGATTTTGTTGTCGGTCTTGTATCAGTCGCTCAAATGATTTTCGAGATTTCGTACCAAAACCAAGTAAATTACAATGATCAAGGAGAAAGATGCTAATAAAAAAAATGAAATAGCAATGGTGTAATGGAAAGTAATAGAAGATGAAAGGGAGTAAAAAAGAGTAATGAGAAGTAATAGGAAACAAAAAAAAGAAATAGGACATGGTGAGAGATGAAAAGGAGTGGCGAGAGACGAAAAGAAGTGATGAGAGACGGAGAGGAGTGATGGGAGATGAAAAGGAGCGATAAAAGAAGTGATGGGAGACGAAAAGGGAGACGAAAAGGAGGGATGGGAGACGAAATAAGTGTTGGGAAGATGAAGAGGAGTGATGAGATACGAAAAGGTGCGATGGGAGACGAAAAGAAGTGATGGGAAGATGAAAAGAAGTGATGGGTGACGAAGAGGAGTGATGGGAGACGAGAAGGAGTGATAAGAGACAAAAAGAAATGATGGTAAGTAAACAGGAGAGAAAAAGAGATAATGGAAAATGAAAAGATGCAATAGAAAATAATGGGAGACGAAAACTCCCCACTCTCGCTGTGCAATGAAAGTGTCCAGACAAACCGGCATCAAATGACGCCATTCGAACCAAAAGAAATAAAACGAAAAACAAAAAAGACAAAGGAAAAAGAAAAGGATGATGAAAAATGATGAGAGACAAAAGTAAAGAAATGATCATGATAGGAGGTTGGGTAATAATAGGAAACCAAGTAAAAAATAAAATCATAAAGTAAAAAAAATGAAGTTAGTAAGAAATGAAATATAAGATAGAAACGAAATAAAAAAGAATAAATAAAAATATTTTTATTAATTGTAGAACCGAAAAAACTAAAATACCAAAAGAAAAAAATGAAATAAAATTAGTAAACCCAAATATGAAAGAGAAACAAATAAAAAAGAATAAAAAAAATGAGTAAGTAACGAAACGTAAAGTGAAAAACAACTGAACCTTAATTGCAGAACCGGAAGGACTAAAGGACCTAAAAATAATGAAATAGAGTTAGTAAGACTACAATTGCTACATCATTTTGAAAACGATAATAATCTATTTTAAGAATAATTTACTATTTGAGATTAGACGAACATCTATTTACTACCTTTATTTTCATTTGATAGATGATGGAATCTTATAAGCTCAAAATAATTAGATAATTCGTTTCACTTCAATAGGTTTATATTTTCAGTGGATATATAAACGTGGTTCTTGTCATACTTCAGGATTATTATAATTGCTTTTTTTTTATAATATAAAATAAGTGCTCTCCTTTCTTTAAATTCTATATCTAAGTTTCCTGTAAAANCTTCGAATATTAAAAATACGAAAAACAAAGATTCTTATTCTGAAAATTACAACGTTACAGTCGTTACATTAAAATTTCCTTTTATTAGAGCTTTGAACTGGATAACCCTAATGCTGTTATGGGGTTATCCGTTTCAAAAAAATTGTATCCGAATACCCTGTGTCAGTTAGTAACGGATAAATCCGAATGAAAATTATAAGATATTCGGATTATCCTAAGCTTACAGGCGCAGCAATTATCCACACATATTTATTTATTATAATTAATTCAAATAAATTTATATTTATTACATTTTCGCTCGATTTAATTTTACTTAATCAATTAAACATCATATCAACCATGTTACAAAGTATTAATGCTTCAAACAAGTCTTCTTTCATTGAAGTTCTTTTAGCTGTCATTATCAAGCCTGCATCTCTAAATACATGTTCACTTGCGCCTGACGTTGCTTGAATTTGATAAATATTTTCTAGCAATTTGGCTAAAATTGGAAACTGTCTTTGATTTGCATTCCACCATTTTAGAGAATCTTGGTCCCTAGGAATCTGAGCTATTGCAAGATATTGTTCAACCTCATCATCTCCATTTTCTTTCTCAGATAGTTCCTCTTCATATTGTATTATTTATATTATTTTGTGCTAGTGTAGTTTCTTTATTATTATCACTAGTAGCCATTTTTAGAAGAGTTAAAAGCTTAAAAATAACAATTAAGCTATAAACTATTATTAAACCTGGGATATCCGAAAGTATAATCCGGATAATCCTATATAAAAAAAATCAATATTCGGATACTCTATAAAAACAATCCGGATATATAGGCTAATAGGATAAATCCTAGAGTATTCTAGTTACATTACCCGTTAAGGAAAGCTCTAGCTATATCTCTTACAGTTGTTAATCAACTTAATAAAATAAAAAAATGTTTACTTACATAAATCGTCATCTGAGGCTGAATTTACTTAATAAAATGACTCAGAGAATAATAAATGTCGTAGATTTTTATGATATTAGAAAGTTCTAAACGAACTTAAATCGCTCAGTTACTTTAGTCCTTTAAACTTACTTTATTTGTTGAAGAAAATATATTTTAAACAATCAAAAAATTGAGATCCTTTAATTATAAGTTAAAGATTTATTAGATTTATTCTTCTAAAGTTACATGAAGTCGCGGTAACTTGAATTGGGAAATGGAATTTCAGCTGATTTGGGCGCTTTGTCAGATCTTTTTTCAATTTTCAATTGTTCAGGTGTTAATCTATTGATGATTTTATTTTCTCATGAATTTACGTTAATAAATAATTTTTTTTTTCGTTTTTTAAAAAAAAAACTTTTTCAAATAATCATACTCACTTTGAATTCAAGTGATTCAAGATTTTCTTCAGGCCGAGTAACTACTAGCACCAATTAAAAGAGAAATAATTCCAAGTTTTTGTTAAACCCAATTCCATTAATATTCAGTTGTTGAAAAAATTAAAGATCAGAGTTTTAAAAGGTTGAATGATATAATAACGTGGCTTCATCTAAGATCCTCCAATTTTTTTTCAACTTTTTTGAATGATTTGCAACTGATTCACCGCGACTTTCCGATTTTGCCGATTCTCTTATATTTGGTAAGAAAACTAATATAAAGATAATTAATACAATAATTACAATAATTATCTTTTAATATAAAAACTCTTAATAATTACCTTTCGATAATGGACACCACATAAAATAATCCCAATATTAAATAGAGATTTAGTATTCTTATATATTCAAATATAATATAATGTAAATTTAATTATATGATACACACCTCGATTTCAGCATAAGCAGGTTCATTGTAAGTCAAGTTCTAATGATCAAACAAACTATAACGCGTTTGAAATCCAATGAAAGAACTAAACACGATTGATGTAATACTGATGAATCTTCGATATCTACAAACTAAAATTATTACTATATTTTCGTATCACAGTAATTCTGCAAATGTTTTAGCATTAGTACACTAGTAAAAAAATGATTTATCCTACACATATCTTACACATATTGGGTACTCAAAATGTAGAAAATCATACACAAATAATACACATATCATACACATATCGGGAGCTAATATATATATCATACATATATCAGGTACCTGATAGGTATACTATATATATAAATACCCGATATGTGTATGATATGTGTATTATTTGTGTATGATTTTCTACATTTTGAGTACCTGATATATGTAAGATATGTGTAGGATATGTGTAGGATAGACCATTTTTTTACCAGTGGTAAATGCCTCAAGATGAAATATTTCTTGCATCAAAGTCTTATTTTTTTTAATAATATATAAAAAATTGTTCTAGCAAATACTATGTATAAACATTTTTTACTTCGATATTGATACCCCTTATTACATTCCATTTTGTGGGCGTGTTTTTCTCATCATGGGTAACAATAGGCATCAGACCACTCAAAAAACTGAGATAAATATACTCTGCGCGTTATCGATAGTCACGTGCAAAGTGACAAATAGATGTCACAGTTGTCACACAGATATTGCAAGTCACATGATATTAGTAAACCGAGTAACAAATCAGGAATGTTTCTATACATACAGAATGGTTCCTATTCCCCTTTGGTTGATCTTGTGCACTTCTAATTTTCTACATTCTGGTGGATGGTCGTCTTATGTTCGACAACCTAGTGTTATAGAGTTAAAGTTAAATAATTTCATTTGTTTAACAGTTAAAATTTTCTTTTTTTTTAGTTAATTTTTTTTATTTTCTCCTTTTTCCAATAATTCGCTATAGACCGCAGGCTATGCCTTGTGTTCTTTTAGAATAGCAGGCAGGGCGACTACACTGGCATCTCCAGTTGTGATTGGGTACATTCTTGTAGTTTATGTTTTTCTCATTAAGTTGTATGACTCCAGTCGTGTCTAATTTTAAAAATAAAATAAAATAAAATTTCTATACATACAAATTGACATCATTCAAAAAAATGTTCAGAGGACAGAAATTTTTTTGGTAGTTAATATCTTACTTATATATCATCACTATATGGCTATATTCCATATCCTTAGACAATTTGACTTGATGATGAATGTTCATTTACCCTCGTTAAAATATAATTTATTCTTATAATCAATTTCTTAAATAAAAATAGAGTTAGGACAAATAAATATTTTTATAATAAATAATAATAATAATAATAAAATAATGTAAAAATTATAATGTAATCATCCACCCAAATCCATTCTTTAAAAAACTAAAAGGTTTTGGATTGTAAATTAAATCTTTAAATGAAGCATATTGGTGATTTAAAAATAAAAAATAAAAAAATAAAATATTCAAATTTTTTTTTTAATTTGATTACATTAGCATAAATTAATATATTTATCTTAGCATGTACATTTGTACTTATACATTAAATAGAATAAAGTTAGAAGACTTTAGTTTATCAAGAAAAAAAATAACTGTTCATTATATTTAAAATAAAAGTCAATAAATATAGATTAAATATAATTAGCTATTAAATAAGTATAAAAAATTTTACATTTTATTATTGAAATATTATTATTTTGATAATTTATATCTCATAATTGGAAAAGTTATAAAAAAAAGATTTATTTAAATTACAAACTAAGAAACTTGTAAAATATTACTTATTACTACTCTGATCTTAGTGTTTTAAATAATTCTAAGTATAATAAAAAAAAAGTGAATATAAATATTTAAGCTAAAAAAAAAAGAATTATTTAAATTACAAACTAAGATACTTGTAAAATATTTTACTACTCTTGCCTTAGTGTTTAAATAAATCTATACAGAATAAAATAAAAAACAATTTCTTTTGAATGCGTAATATCAAATATCACTTAAAAAAAGCTATAAATTTTTTTAAAAATAAACTGACAATGATTAGTTAATTTTCATCTGTTTCAATAATTATATAAATAAATTAATTTTCATATAAATAATTTGCAAGATTAATTCTTTTATATATCATAGTACATACCTAGTGACCCTAAATCCTTAATTATATAATCATTCAAATCTTCACTTACTAGCATTTCATTTGTTTTTACACTAGCTCGTGAATCTTCACTTTCAAGAATTTCATTCAATTTTTTACTAGTAAAACCAAGTAAGCGACTTTTATAACATGCTTGTGGATGTGATTCGGTAATAAGATTGTTATACTGCCCAATTGGCGCATTTATAAATTCCACAATATTGCTTTTTAATTCTTCATTAGTTTGATCATCATCAGGATGGAAAATCCATTTTTCAATAGTTTTTAATACTTCTTTAGAAGATGGTCTTTTTGATGAATCTTCATTCCAACATTCTTTCATTAAATCTACATAACATTGTGGAGTATTTTCGATAATTTCAGGACGTTCACCTTTACAAATACTGAAACTAAGTTGAATATCATGTGCTCTATTATTAAATGGTGGTACCCCAGATGTAAGTTCCCACATAATCATAGAAAAACTATATATATCACTAGCTGGAGTATAAGATTTGCCTCTTAAAACTTCAGGAGCCATAAATGGCACTACACCATAAATATCATACTTTTTCAAAAATGATTTTACAGGTTGACATAATCCTAAATCACTAATATAAATTTTATCACTATACACATCATCATTATGATTTAAAATATTACCATCATGAAAATCACAATGAATAAGATTTTTTTCATGTATATCACTAAGTCCAGAAATAATTTCGTACAACATATATAATTTTTGATTCCAATTATTTTTGACTATTCTTGTTAAATTTTCTCTTAAATTGCCTTTATTTGCATACTCCATTACTACCATATATTTTGAAGTATTTGGATCTTCTGTGAATCCATAAACATCTATAATATCACTTGAAGCTGAAACACTTGTATGATATTCCCACTATAAATAATAATAATAATTTATTAATATAAATAAATTTTAATTTAAATTAAAAATAGAAAATAATATACTATCATACTTCTTTTAAAAATTCATTTAAATTTTCATTTAAATTCTTGTGGCATTTAAGAATTACTTGATTCTTTAACCAAGTAGCTTTATATATAGTACCAAATCCTCCTTCATTAAGATATTCAACACTTTCAAATTTGTTATAAGGAATCCATCTTAATTCTTTTTCAAGAATAAAATTATCTATAACTGTATTTCCACTTTTCCCAAATCTATAAATTTAAATAATTAAAATTATATATAGATATTATAGATTGTATTATAATTTACACAAAATAAATTATTACTTACTCTAAAATTTAAATATGAATTTAATGTAATACAATATAAGTCTTAATTTTTGGATAAATATATACAATAACCTATAATTTACAACTTACCAACTAAAGTAACAGATGTTTTTCAAATGGAAGAATTCAGTTAACAAATAAATATTATATAAATATATAATGATACATATACTTACAAGCTAGATCATAAATAATTTTTTTTTAATAAAGAAATTAGTTAGTTTAAATTATATGTAAATGTTATAACAATAAGTAATAATAGAATTAAATAAATAACTTACTCCCTATATTATTTAATAATTTTTTAAATAAAGAAATTAGTTAGTTTAAATTATATGTAAATATTATAACAATAAGTAATAATAGAATTAAATAAATAACTTACTCCCTATATTATTTAATAATTTTTTAAATAAAGAAATTAGTTAGTTTAAATTATATGTAAATATTATAACAATAAGTAATAATAGAATTAAATAAATAACTTACTCCCTATATTATTTAATAATTTTTTAAATAAAGAAATTAGTTAGTTTAAATTATATGTAAATATTATAACAATAAGTAATAATAGAATTAAATAAATAACTTACTCCCTATATTATTTAATAATTTTTTAAATAAAGAAATTAGTTAGTTTAAATTATATGTAAATATTATAACAATAAGTAATAATAGAATTAAATAAATAACTTACTCCCTATATTATTTAATAATTTTTTAAATAAAGAAATTAGTTAGTTTAAATTATATGTAAATATTATAACAATAAGTAATAATAGAATTAAATAAATAACTTACTCCCTATATTATTTAATAATTTTTTAAATAAAGAAATTAGTTAGTTTAAATTATATGTAAATATTATAACAATAAGTAATAATAGAATTAAATAAATAACTTACTCCCTATATTATTTAATAATTTTTTAAATAAAGAAATTAGTTAGTTTAAATTATATGTAAATATTATAACAATAAGTAATAATAGAATTAAATAAATAACTTACTCCCTATATTATTTAATAATTTTTTAAATAAAGAAATTAGTTAGTTTAAATTATATGTAAATATTATAACAATAAGTAATAATAGAATTAAATAAATAACTTACTCCCTATATTATTTAATAATTTTTTAAATAAAGAAATTAGTTAGTTTAAATTATATGTAAATATTATAACAATAAGTAATAATAGAATTAAATAAATAACTTACTCCCTATATTATTTAATAATTTTTTAAATAAAGAAATTAGTTAGTTTAAATTATATGTAAATATTATAACAATAAGTAATAATAGAATTAAATAAATAACTTACCATCTATAAAATAATTTTTTAAATAAAGAAATTAGTTAGTTTAAATTATATGTAAATATTATAATGATAAGTAATAATATAATTAAATAAATATCTTACCATCTATAAAATAAATTTTTAAATAATGAAATTAGTTAAATTATATAAATAATATAAATATAGATATCATATAACTTACACCCTGTAGTATTATTAATTATTAATTTGTTAGATATAAAGATAATATAAAAGTATTTACTGTAAATTATATATATTACTTACAATCTAGTTATTTAAATTAAGAATATAATTAGTTGAATAATGTAAAATATTGAATTGTTTATAAATAAAAACTTAATATTTCAGCTTGTTTGATATACCTTTAATATGTTGGTCCATTACTATATCAAAATTCTCAAATTCTCCCCAACTGAAAAAGATAAAGTAAATATCTTTTTTTCTTTTTTTTTATTATTGAGCGCCTTTATCAGTATTAATAAATATGGTAATAATATTTATGCAAAATACATTATTTGTTATGTGCAAAACGATTGATCACAAGTACAAGCATTGCATCATTGCATGCATACTATATGACAAACAAATTTAGCACAACTGGAATGTATATCAATTATTAATTGCAGTAACTGGTTAATCATTTCATCTTAGGTAATTATTAAGTACCAATGAAATGATTATCATTCATTAGCTTGAAGATAAGAATGCCAAAAGCCCGTTTAGTTTTAATCATAGCATTATTTTTTAAATAAATTTATTGATCGTACTGACCATGAAATGCAATATATGGTTAATTTGATGCCCAAATATAGCTTACTTTTCCAGCATTTTTATATTAAGCTTGAAGCTTAAAGCATATACTTAAATGTAGGCTTAAGTATAAGTTTCAAACTTCAAGTTTCAAGTATTGGATCCACAGTTAGCTTCTCTACAGATGGCAGGTTAATATATATATATATATTTTTTTTAAAAAAAACGTGATTCTTTTTCAAAAAAAAAAAAAAAATGATAATCGTATACGTAATCATGTACATGTACGTAACAAAATGGTAAAAATGATAAGCATAATTATTTATTTACTATTGTTACCGGTTGTATCAGTAATTAAGAGTCGTATAACTAGCAGTATTATATCATATAATTACTCGATTACCAACAAGATTCTTACTCAATACTACCTATCCTGGTATTCCGGTATTGTTCGTTAAGAATTGTCCAGGTGAATAACTACAAAATATGATAAATAATAATACGCAATGGTTATAGAAACAAATGTTAAATGACTGTCAGAAATAACGTGTAAATTTAACCAAAGTATAATGATTTTATTAATAGATATAGGACTTCAGGCTTTTACAACAAAGTGATAGAGAAAAGTGATAGGGAATATATTTTAAGACAATTTACTAGGAGAATATATATATTAAGGTAACTGCTTCTATCAAAGAGTTGGCAGAAGGTATATTTATATATTCATATTAACGATTGTTATTGAATTTATTGAATGATATTTTGTAGTATCATATAAAAGTTTATTATTAGAGATTTTTTTGACGATCATTATAATTTATAGTAATCCCTGTTAAAATTCACAAATTCTGTGAGAACGCTCCAAATAGTTGTTTTTTTTCATATGATATCTCCCTTTTCAAAAAAAAGTAAACAATTCAAGCCTTTTTAGCTTCTTTAGATACTTCTCAATAAGAAAAAAAAAATGTTTTTCTTTAGTATTTTCAAAAGAGTGAGGTATTACGTTGTTCTTTGGGTTCTCGTGTATTTGTCTAATCTTTCATTATTGCACAAAGACTAATAATGCATAGTTTATCGAATTTTTAAAATTTCGGAAATTTTAATGGGTTCTATTTCAAAGTGTGCGCAGATAAATTACTTTCCGAGATATAATTTATTAATATCAGAAAATAAAGTTAAAAAATCCGAATGAATCTAAAATACCCATATTCAATTCATAACCGGCATAAATTAAGCCATTTCGTATAATCTCTTAATATGGTAAATACGTGCATCATTTGGTAAAGGAAATAGAATTCAAATGTATTATTCTGAGGCGCAGAATACAGAATTATCAGTCACTGGCGCAGCGCCAATCACTAATTAAAATGTTTGTACTACATAAATTAGCCTATCTTCATTTAGTTGGGACAAAGATTTTAACAAAATATCACTTTTTTTACGATACATTAACCAATTTTAGTTCTTTCAAAAGTTTTTTACGTGACGAGCCAACCATTAGTATAGTTGTATTGTTGTAAAATTTTGTTGTAAAATTTGGTTGAAAGATTTATATGTACGTTGTTGATAAATAGCTGAGAAGGTGAATTCTTTATTATACAGTAAGCGCCAGAACTAAAAAATGTTTAGTTTATAATTACATGTTTCAGAATAATATTTATTAATCAATAACTTTTTTACATCAGATTTATATGACAGCAACCAACTAAAATAATATTATTTTCGTTTAAAAACAAGATCTTAAATAAAAGTAGTATAATTTTGAAGGCTAAATTTGCTTTTATAGCTTGAAAACATTCTATTTATTTGTAAATTTAAAAAAATAGCCAACTACCTGTTATTAATAAAGTTTACATGTGACGAATAAACCAGAAATTTGAATATTTACTAATAACAAGAAAGTTTCCTAATATTATTTCATTGGATTTATTCGACTCAATTCCTATATATCAGCTTAAATTCGTTTGATAGAATATTATGTAAATAATAAAAGTAATACTAAATTATTAGTATTCCTAATATTTATGCATATTATATAATTTAAATTTATTTACTAATAGATAAATTGTAAATTATTTATACTGTATATAAAAATTAAGATATAATTGTTGTTTTCAATATTTTTTATAGTCTAATAAAGAAATTCGTGTTAACGAAAAAAAAACTGTAAAGAGTAATTACTAAATGATTCATTCGTTTATTGTTTACTAATTGGTGAAAAAAAAAAAAAAATATTTTTTAGAATTTTATAAATTGGATAAGAATGGTTTCACAACAAACTTAATTAATAAAGAGTAATCATGGTCATATAAAAATGTATGAAATACATATATTGATAAGAAATAATATATTATATCGAAAATAATAAATTTTAAAATATATAATTAAAGGTTATGCTCCATACAAAATTTGATAGCAGTTTCGTCACAATTATAAGCAGCTAATTTCATATAATCCTTAGCTTTTTCTATATCTTTTACAACCAATACCATTATAATACATCTTTCCAGCGTTATACATTGCCACTCTAAAACCATCTTCGGCAGCTTTTCAAAATATTTAAGAGCTTCTGAAAAATTTTGATTTTGTATTTTACTCAACACCTTTGCCATGATACAAACAATCTCCATATCTTAATTTCGCTTCAGGGAATTCATTTGCTTCATCATCAGCAACTTCTTTAGACAATTCAGCAACAATTTTATCTTTATTTGGGGGACTTTCGACAAATCCTTTTGAAATGTAAATTTGCTTTATAATATTTTGCTAGGATTTGCCCTATAAAAAATTTTTATCCGAATATTTCCATTATTTCTCCGTGTCTTCCGTAAAAATTCCGTGAAAATGATACATTCACGGATATCCGTGTTAGCGAGATGAAAATTTCCATAATTTAAGGCTATAAATTCCATTAAAATGATACATTCACGGAAAAAACATGGAAAGATAAAACACGGATTAGATTTTTTACAGGGTTGATGATTACGGGTTATTGTACTCGTCCCGCCAAGGTTTGCATAGGCTTCAAAGCATTTGTATGCAGTTATTATATCTCCAATAAGTTTGTCTTTTCTATCACACAATTTATGTTGTTTTGCTGCATCAATGAGTGTCATGTATTTAAACGATTTAAAATCTGGTAAATTACTTGGAAGGGCATGTGCATCTTGATCAATGCTGTATGCTCGTTTGGGAGTAGGAATTAACGAGGCACTTGGTCGCTTTGAATAATCTTTGACACAATTCTAAGAACTTCAAATATTTTTGTAATGTCTGGCCTAAAATATGGATCTTGATGAAAGACTAAAATGTATATAAAAAAAAAAGAAGAAATTTTAAGTCTAACAAATAAAATTATTATTTAAAATATTTTCTTTTACATACCTTCAAATTGTAATTGTTTGAATTCTTCTGGCATTTGACTATTTTCAGAAAATGGTTCTCTATACATTTTATTACATACTTTTTCACAGTATTATTAGTATCTTTATATGGAATTCTCTCTTTAGCAATTTCCCAAAGTAAGATAAATCTTACATTTATAATCATAATTGAAATTTGGAGCCCTTTCTAACCATTCAGGTGCACAATAGCGAACTCGTCCTAAATTTTGTACTTGAATTAATGCAAGTGCAGTTAAACGACTTAATTTAAAATTTGCAAGTTTTGCTGTTTCATTGAGTGTGATTAATATATTAACAACACTAATATCACGATGAACATACCAGACGCCATTTCTTTTAGATACTATAATTATTAAAAGTAATAGCTTATAATTAATTTAACATTCAAATAAATTTATTGATAGAACTAAATTTTTAATCTTACTTTAGCTAAATCATCTTGATCGGCTTTAATTGTTCAAGTTCATCAGAAATTTTGACATCAATAGAAAAAGACAATAAATTAATACAAATATTAAATTCTCCACATAATTCCTTAAAAGTTTTCTCAATACTTTTCGCTTTAATAAAAAATGTTGCGAAACATTTTTTTATTAAATTATCTATTAAAAATATTTCGCATTTTTATTAAACTTTTTAAGAAAAATTCATGCGAATTTTTCTTCAACCTGTCAGGTCAGGTTCAGAGTTCTGGAACCTGTAAAATTATAAATTAATTAAATAAATTAAATTAAACATATTTGGTTTATTCAGCTGATAGATAGATTTTAAAACAAAAAAAAAAAGAAATGAAATTTCTTTATAAATATGAGTATTGATGAAAGAAAACTTTGAAATTGAATAGATACTATTTTACCTCTTAATCCTAAATTATAGTCATCTAATTTTTCTCTTGTTTATTAAAAATTAATGCACAATTAAATGGCTACGGAAAAGCCCAAATCGCAATTTTACTCTAATGATTACACTATTCAATTCAGCATTCAGTTCCTTTAATATTAAGTATTAATATAAATTAAATTAAATATATATAAATATATATAATTCTGATCCATAATTTGATAATGAACAAGGGCGATCATTTTTTGGAAAAATTTACCGGAATCAAAATGATCAGCAAAATTTTAAATCATAGTGATAGTAAAAAAAATGATCGACAAACCACATATTTAATTAGTAAACGGAAATGCCCGGTGACTGTTATTTAATATATAAATTATCTTGATTTATATTAGGTATTCCGTTTATGGAAGTTACGGAGTTTTTGTTTCATTGATAATTATTAGAAATTAGAGATGTGCATGTACAACAGTACATGGCAAAACGTCCAACAATCGTTTAATGCCAGAATATTCAAATATACTTAAAAAGGATCGTCATTTGTCGTTTGAGAATTTCTGAATGTAAAATAACCATAATTTGTCGTAGTCAGTCAAAAGAGACCGTCATATTATACATTAAATAAAATTGCATATTGATTACATTTTTCTTCTTGATATCTTGTGCAATGTTGAAAGCAATGTGAGTAATTAGCGAAAAAAAATTATTAAGTTCATTTCTGACTGATCGGATTTTTGATCAGGGTTTGAGTTAATAATTATTAATTATTATAAAGCTAAACAAGATCATGTCGTTTTTAACTTACTGATATTTTTTAGATAGATTATTATTGCAGATATTTTTGACGCATTACGTCATTTGGGTTAAATATCACATATATAGTTTATTTATTATTTTTATATGGAATACAGTTATTGAGATCAATAGAGAATGTTCCATTACCTTCTTGGGTGACAAAATTATGCAACTTGATCAATTACATATCCACAAAAAAGTAGAATTTTTGATCGCAATTTAAAAATAAGCAAAAATGAACGTGTTAATTGTTATTGTTGAAAATTATTTTAATAACATTTTTTGACCGGTTAAACCAATTTTGCGATCAAAATCCTAACAATTATGCAGAAATTGATAGGCATAGTATCGCAAAAATTTTACTTTTAAACATATAGGGTTGTAAAATTACATTTTAGGTTGTGTAACTTAATTAATATACAGTAAGTGCTATGTTAAATTTTATAGTATTTACAATTTTACATATTTTTCAAATTTTTAAAAAAATTGTCAAAGAATTTTTAATTAGTCCAAGAATTAAGTAGAATATCTCAACAGCTAGTAATCAGTAATTCAAAATCATGCCAAATTTTTATACATTATAAATTTAGTTTCATTCTATAAAATATAAAAAATTTTGTTCAATTTGAATCGTTAATTTATAACAAGAAATATTATCAATCGCTACACAAAGTATAGTGGGACAATGGAACGATTTGGGAATGAACAGATCATATGATTAATAATTTTGTTTATTTTATTTAATTACATACTATATGTATTCAATCTAGGGAAAATAGTTTTTACCAATATATCTGGGATTTCTGGAAAATCATGCGAAACTTTCATTATGTTGATCAACTCGGTCATCTACTTATAGCGCAGTTTGTAAAACAATCAATCGAACCTTTCATAATGTTGATCAATCTTGCCATGTTTGGTTAACTAAAAACGCCTATCATACTAAATATGTATATAACTTGCTTTTTTAGATAATAGGAGGAAAAACTTTAAAGCGGTGACGTTAATTTATTTCTCAGTATGCATAATCTGCATCATGCCGGCAAAATAATTTATACAAGATGAAAACTAATCCAAATGTGACGTTTAGACGTTACACAACTTTATATATTATCTTGTATATACATAAAGAGAAAAGAAAAAAGATATATATAAATACGTTGTTATTTTTTCTTTGAAATTTTCACCAGTACACACACAGTATAAACCCAACAATTTAAAAATTATTAGAAACATGGATTATTCTAATTTATCAATGGGTCAAATTAGAAATAACTTCATTAATAATTCTAATGCAATTGCTCCTGCGCCTCAAAATATTACATTTGAATTTTATCTTCCTTTACCAAATAATACACGTATCTACCATGTTACTTATACTGAATTAAATTCAACGGAAATCGCGCGACTCTTGAATAATAGAATTGATTTATCTCATATTCCAAATCATCGACTTCCATATCATTATAATGTACAACATTTAATTCGGCAACAAATCACAATCTTTCGATACTATGAATGTTCAACCGATTTACCAAGAATATTCGGATAATAATGCTTTCGATTTATCTTTAATTCTTCCTATTCAACAATCTGTTGATTATCAACAAGATGCTATCCCACAACAATCTTTCGATACTATGGATATTCAACGTAATTTCCAAGAATATTCAGATGATAATGCTGACGATGTATCTTCAATTCTTCCTATTCCTTTTGATTATAAACAAGAAACCACTTCACAACAATCTTCCGACAATATAAAATTTGAATTTTATCTTCCTTTACCAAATGATGCACATGTCTATCATGTTACTTATGCCGAATTAAATTCAAAAGAAATCGCGCAACTCTTAAATAATAAAATTGATTTATCCCACATACCCGATCATCAACTTCCATATCATAATAATGTACAACATTTAATTTGGCAACAAATTATTCAACAGCCTGTTGATTATCAACAACAAGATGCTATCCCACAACAATCTTTCGATACTATGTTCCAAGAATATTCAGATAATAGTTCTTACGATATATCTCCTATTCAACAACCTGTTGATTATCAACAAGACACCACTCTACAACAATCTTTCGATACTATAGATATTCAACCCATTTTCCAAGAATATTCAAATAATAATGCTAACGATGCATCTTCAGTTCCCCCAAACAGTCCTGAAGATGGATACAATGGAATTCAATCACATCAAAATAACTAAGGCTAAACCCAAATTATAATTTAAGATAAATATGCTGTAAGAAATATAATTATATTTATATGTAAATTAATTAATATAGATTCAATTATTTGTATGTTTAACTTAATAATATAGTATGTCTACGCATTATGACAAATGATCGATCACGTGAGTTCTCTGTCACTCATGTGACGTCATCCTAAGAAATCGCAAATCTGTATTTTTTTCGCACCGGACTTACGTCGGTTTCCGTTTCCTATTTATATCAGGCCTCTATTTTTATCCCATTTCCAATATTATCCGGTAATCTGGTATTTTAAATATACTAGACTACACCATTTTAAGAATAAGTTATGAAATTAAGCGAAACATCTATTTATTACCTTTAATTTTCATTTTGATATTTAAGTAGAAATTATTAAATTAAATAAGATTATATTAACTTAGATTGAATATATAAATCCTTTTGGGTCTCTTTATTTCGATAATATATATTAAACAAAAACTTCTAATAATGGAATTTATGGTCTTCATTTATATCAATTTATACAGGAGATCTATATATAAATCCTATAAAAGTAGTGAGAGTTGAATTTTCGGATTTTAAATACATTTCTTTTAAGCAATAAGATTGGAATGGGAGAATGCCTAAGGTAGAATATCTTGTACAGTTGTTAATTATAAGAAAATATCATGAGTCAATAAAATAAAAGAATGTTTACTTATAGTATCTGACGTAAATCGTCAATTTAATAAAATGATTCATAACATACATCATTTTTATGGTGTAGAAAGTTCTAAACGACTTAAATCACTAAATTACTTTAATCCTCTGAATTTACTTTATTTGTTGAAGAAAATATATTTAATATAAACAATCGAGAAAAATAACAAATTGAGACCTCGTAATATAAATTAAAGACTTATTCTTCCAATCGCGATAGCTTAAATTTTATGAGACACTTTAATGCTTTTTCCGATGTAATCTATCATGATTGTAACAAATAAATTAAAATTGGAATTTCAGCTGGTTTGGATGCTTCATCAAGTCTTTTTTCAATTATGTTAATAAATAATTTTTTTTTAAAAAAGAAAAAACCTTTTTCAACACTTTAATTCAAGTGATTTAAGATTTTCTTCAGGCCGAGTAACTAATCTTGCACCAACTAAAGGAGAGGTAATTCCAAGTTTTTGTTAAACCCAATTCGTAGCAACCTATGTATAACGATAAAAACCATTAATATCCGGTTGTTGGAAAAAATTAAAGACTAGAGTTTTAAAAGGTTGGATACCTGAAAACGGAATATGAAATGACAATGGCTTCATCTAAGATCCTCCAATTTTTTTCAACTTTTGAACGATTTGCAACTGATTCACCACGACTTTCCGATTTTGCTGATTCTCTTATATTTTCTGGCAAGAAAACTAATATAAAATTAATTATTAATACAATAGTTACAATAATTATCTTTGGACACCACATGGAATAATCCCAACCTAAAAGATTTTAAATAGAGATTTAGTATTCTTATATAAATCAAATATAATAAGTATAATTTAATTATATGATACACACCTCAATTTCAGCTGTTAGTCAAATTCTAACGAACAACTAACTAACTATAACGCGGTTGAAGTCCAATGACCTTTAATATCTACTAAAATTATTATTATTATTTCGTACCTCCATCCACGTAATTCTGCAAATGTATTAGAACGAGTGAGTGCTTAAGATGGAAATTTTGCTTTACAGCAACGTATAATATATACTTACTTTTTTTTAGAAAAAATTGATCGAGAAGATACTATAAATATAATAGTTAATTACTATTCCAATTCGAGCGACGTCATTTAATGGTCTCATGAGTTTTTCAACTGGAGTTCAAAGCTAATAAGCATGAATAAATAAAATATCAACATTAAACTCTCATCTAAATTCTCCACAAACTTTTTCGGTGATTTCCTCCTAAATATTTATTAGTTAACATAACAAATTACACTAATTTCAATTTCTGTAAACGTATTTTTTTGTAAAAACATTAACAAAGCATTTTTAATAAAATGTAATCGAACCTTTTTTTAATATTTGTTATTAATAATTATTTCGATAAAAAATACTCTCATATGATTTGATATTAAATCATTTTAAGATAAAAATGCCGGTATAATATATATATAATCTGAAGTGACACCAATTTTGTGAATCAAAGATTGAAGCGTCATCAAGCTGATAATCTCAATCCCAAGCCAATATCTGTTAAGAAGCTATCCTAAATAGGAAGTTTATCGGTACACAATAATATTAAATGAACCCTTTTAAATTAATTTGAATTGTGTAACGAGTCTCGTCATAAAACTCGTACCATGTCGATCATTTTTATTGACGATACATTAGAGTTTCGATCCCGGTTCGAAGAGTATTCGAAGCAACGGGCTGTTACTATTTTTTAAAATAAAAAAAATTACATAAATCAAAAAATTATTGACCTACCTTTTCTGTGCAGAAACTAGCGAAATTTGTTAAACAAGAAATGTGAGTCGTTATTTAAGTTGGGAATTTTTAAACGAACAATCGAAACATCAGATTTGGATTCTGTCATTAAGAGTTTTAGAACGCTATACAAAATCCTACATTTTTCATAATAAGTTTAAGTGACTTTTAATTTTATACACGAAACAACTCTTGAAAAACTTTTGTAAATCATTTCAAGTTAATTAATTTATGATTCAATTAACCAGTTAAGTCGTTATGGTTTTTCCAACATTTTTTTTTTTATTTTATCTGCGCCTTATATAAATACAAATTATAATAAGAATTATAAGCCACCTTGTAATCTCGTTATATTTCACTTTGCGAACATATATCATTTTCTCCAAAAGCTAATTGAATAATATTGTACAATAAAAATATATATACTCTAAATATAATAAGATAAACGATATTTTATATGAAAATTTCTTATTTCTTCAGATATGATTAATAAATGAAACTAATTTCTTATGCGTTTTCCTATTTTAAATTAAATAAATAAATAAATAAAAATATAAACAACAAATAGTGAAAACATTTAATCAAATAATACTGTATATTTACCATTATTTTCATAAGAATTAATATTTAATTCTTCAATATTTCGTTTAGTTCCAAGTACGTTGAGTTCACTAATAATATAAAATCGTATTTTATTGATTTTTGAATTGTTTGAAATTAAATTATAAATAATAAATATTTTTAACTTTAAATACCTTTCAATACCTATGCCTAATTCGAATTCTTTTGAAATATAATCTATAAGGAAAAAAATTTTTAATTTATTTATTCAAAGATGACTAATAATAGTATTACGGTATAGTACATACCATTTGATGAAAAATTGATAGATGAACAATTAGTAAATATAGATGAACATTTAGAAATGTAAGAATTTAATGATCTACTTGTATAAATAGCTTTTGGATGAGGCTTTTCACTAAACTTGGAACCAAGCTTCTTCGAAACTATTAAATTTTTCCTTTTTAATTCAGCTTGGTTAAATTGATCATGATAGTATTTGAGAGGTTCATCATAATTATGACAACGCCATGTTTCACAAGTATAATAAATTTCTTTTATAGAAGGTCTTTTTTTTGGATCAGAATCCCAACAACTTTTCATTATATTAGCATAACATTCTGGTGTATCTTCTGTAATTTCAGGTCTTACACCATCCATAATATTAAAAATAAGAATATGATCATGTTCAATATTAGCAAAAGGCTTACAACCTGTTGTAAGTTCCCACATGATCATACCCAAACTATAAATATCAGATTCTTTAGAATATACAGACCCTTTAAATATTTCTGGTGCAATATAAGGTATCACTCCATAAATTTCGTTATCCGATGAGGTATCATTTGCAGGTCGTGATAATCCTAGATCTCCGATTTTAATTTTAGCTGGATAATCTACCAATATATTTCCACTATGAAAATCTCGATGTATAAACTTTGCATTGTGAATAGTCCGGAGTCTAAAATAAAATAATTAATAAATTTGCATTATGAATTAATCATTTACCAATATATTTAAAATATGATTACCCAAATGTGATTTGAAATAAAATAATTATTTTCTGTTGCCAATTAATTTTTGTAAAATTCTTTTGTAAATACTTATGTAAATCTCCATTCTGCGCATATTGCATAACTAGTATATAATCGTCTAATTTTGGATCCTTTGTAAAACCATGGGTTTTAATAATAGTTTCATAACTTCCATAATGATGATTTATCTTTAACTATTAATTCCCAAGATTAATAAGATTAAAATTAAAATATTTTTAATGAATATCAAATAAAAATAATTACGAATTGTTGACGTATTTACCTCATTCATAAAATATTTTTCAGCAAATTGAGAGTTTTTAAACCTTTTTAAAATGACAATGTTATCTCTAGTCAAAAAACGATAAATATTCTTATTTGAACCATTTAACCGAGTTGCTTGATATACAATACTAAACCCTCCTTTTGTTATTTCTTTTACATTTGTAAATTGAGAATATGGTATATATCTCATTAATAGTCCTTTAAAATTATCGCAAATAGAAATACAACACATCTCGAATGGAACGAAATATTCATCAATACTTTTTACATTGTTAGCAAAATTAGCTATTTCCAATTGATATGATCTTATGCTAACAAGAAAATCATCTAAAACACTATCTCCACTGTTAATACCAATCATCTTTGTGATATCAAAAGTAATAGTTGATACTCTCTTGCATTTTTTACATTGCGATTGATTTGTATATCCAAAAATAACATTTGTTGTTAAACAAAATCTACATCCAATAAAAAATATGAAACAATTTTCACAATACTTTTGACAGTTAGATGTTAATATTAATTCTTCAAAACAAAAACAACTAAATCTATTTTCCCACCATGGTAAATAAATAATTGAAATAGGCTTTTTAGTTAAGGTTGATTCTATATATCCAATAGAGATTAGATAACAATTTGAACATAATTTA